TTTTTTCATTTTTCAGGTAAATCAATACAGTGCAGAAATATGTTAAGTTTTGTAAAAGACGGGTTTTAAAATCCTACGGAAATTTGTCAGATGTGATCACATGCAGATTCCCTGTGGGCTTTGTGAAGTTCCTGTGAATAAATGCTGATCACATAAAGGCATTCTTACTTTCTGTGTTCTCAATGGGAGTTGAGCAGCCACCTCACCACCATGCTTATGTCTGCGTCACACACTCTCTAACACACACTCCTCTCGTCTAGTCCATGGCTGGCAGGTGAGGAAGACTCGGGCTCAAATACAGGCCTAGAAACAGAGAGTGAGAGAGAAAACCATTAGTGAACAAATCTCACATAAACTCCAGTGCCCTATAAAGCACAGTAATGTAGTCTGACTTTAGCCACATTATGCAAGCGTGACCCAATATTCCAGTGACCCTCTTAAAACACCCCTACAATCTCATATTACTGCTGTTTGCTCAAATATACCCTTACAAACATCTCTATTTCATGTAGTTTGTGGTAAGTAAAAATATGAGTGTTTATGTAATTTACGTCATCGTCACTACAGAACGCTGTTAAACATAATACATCATCTGAGATGTGGTGGAAATGATAATGTGATGAAAAGGTTTATAACTTTCAGAAAAAAAGCAAAATGAGATTCCTATTTGATAGATGGAAGACTTGAGTAGGTCAGAAGTAGAGCTGAGGAACGTGAAGAAACTTGAGCTCAGCAGTCAGAGATCACAGTGATATAATGCTTTACATGAGCCTGGCAACCGTTCGATCACAGCCAGTTTATTAAGGTATCTCTGAGTTGTGTGTGCACAAATGGCTGATTAGACTGGTAAGGATATATACAATTTCCATATTAAGGTTTTATTTATTTATTTTTTTTTGTTGAGAAAACCACAGGACAAGTTCTAGGATTTCAACCTCAGTATGAACCATTGTGGCTTACAGGACTATTTCTTGCAAGAGTTCACAAGTTCAAATCTTGCTCTACTGAATATCATCTGTTTGTCAGTAAAAATCCCCCTTTTTTTGACTTACGATAGTATTTATGTATTTATTTAGCAGAATTTTAGTTAAATTCCACAGATAATTTTCAGCCATTTCAGTAGGTATTTATTTATTTATTTATTTATTTATTTATATGTTTGTTTGTTTAGCATATATATTTTTAGTTCCACAGATATTTGCAGCCATTTCTGTAATAATTAATAATTAATAATGAATTAATATTTTATTTATTTAGCTAAATTCCACAGATATTTTTTAACAGTTAAACAATTAATAAATGTATTTATTTATTAAAAACGTTACATTCCGGAAATATTCTTCCGCCTTTTTTTTTTTGTTTAACATACTGCATTAATTTATTAATTTATGTAGATAATATTTTAGTTAAATTCCATAAATATGTATTTATTTATTTGTTTGTTTATTTGTTAAATTTCAGAAAATTTAATTTAATTTAATTTAATTTAATTTAATTTCGGAAATATTCTTCAGCCATTGTTTGTTTGTTTAATATACTATATTTTAATTTATGTAGATATTTTAGTTAAATTCCACAGATATTTATCAGCCATTGATTGATTGACTATTAAATCCCACATATTTATTTATTTATTTTATTTTTTTGTTAAATTTCAGATTTATTTATTTATTTTTATTTATGTGTTTGTTTGATTGTTTAAATATATTAAATATTTTATTATTTATTGATATTATTATATTATTTATGGATATATGTATTTATTTATGTTTTTATTGCACATTTATTTGGTATATTGTTTTAAGTTAAATTCCACAAAATGTTTAGCTATTTCATCACCAAAAGTATAACTAGTTTGAATAATAAAACTAATTTGGTTAATAATAGCCAGTGTCAAACAATAACAAATTAATTAAACAAGACTATAGAAAAAAGAAGATATTAATTTATGATTTCTATATTTATTAACTTTATTTTACAGTAGTTTTACAGTATAAGTAAAGTATTTTTTGGAGAAAGTATTGTTTTGTGAGATACGTGTGTGTGTGTGTGTGTGTGTGTGTGTGTGTGCGTGTGCGTGTGTGTACTGTGAGCGATGAGGTCATCCTACAGGCAATGTGAATCTACGTCGCACAAAAAAATTATATGCATACACAAAACACACTATATTTGATGCCTCAGCAGGCCCAAAGTCTCACACGGCAGCAGTTTTTACAGCAAGATCCCTTAGAGCTGCTGTAACCTCAAGAAGCAAAAATCACAATACATAATTCACAGCTATGCATGCTGTACATTCGGCTCTCCTCCGCTCAGAACAGCAGCTCACGGCTCTGGCAGGCCATTTATAGAACGGCTGAGTCTCATTTCACAGCATTAGACTGGAGAAGAGTGACAGGCAGAGAGATGGACAACTACATTAGCCCAGGGGTCAAAGGTCAGGGCTTTTAGGAAAAGAGGTTGGTAAAAGAAGAGAGGAAGAGACCCTTCTTCTTCTTCTTCTATCTTATTATATTATTCAAATCAAATTGAAGGCTTTTAAGACTCCCTTTGAGATAGCAGTAAAATCTATATATTGAATCAATAATGTTCTTAGTCTTTCTTTCCTGTGGCGGGTGGCCCAGAGAGAATCCACATAAGTTGACATTAAATTAAATGCCAGATACAGTTTACTGTGTAGCCAAAATTCCAATAATTAGCAGAAAAAGGTAATTACTGTATGCGCAATGCTGTAATTTTAATTATCAACAAGCCAAAATACGACGTGGCTCTTATTTTGAAATGCCTTAGTACTTTCAAATACTTATTCAAAAAGATGAGATAAAATATGCACTCTTACAACTGTCTACAAAAAATATTAAAAATACAATAAACCATAATGAAAACATGGTATTATTTATTTATTGTTTGTTTGTTTGTTTGTATGTTTTTATTTATTTATTTTAACACTTTAAAGGGTGATTGGCTATTTTATTGTAAGGCTAAAAAATATTAGCTCAAGAAAAAAATAAAGATAAATAATTTTCTGTCTGCAAATTCGGATAATTAAGACTTTTGTCTTGGCATTTAAGACATTTTAAGACTTGAAAAGGCAGTTGGCTATTTTAATTATTATTATTTTTTAAATCAGCTCAAGAAAAATAGAGATGAATAAAAAATAAAAAATGTATAATTACATTATTCCGTATATAAAAAATTGAAGACCTTAAAATGCTAAATAAGACTTTTGTTGTGGCATTTAAGACATGTTAAGACTTTAAAAGGCAATTGACTCTTTTAATTATTTAAAATAAATAAATAAAAAATCAGCTGAAGGAAAAGGAAAAAGAGAAAGAAGACCAAATTGAAATTGTAAATTGAAGACCTTAAAGTGATAATCAAGACTTTTTTATAGCATAAGACATTTTAAGACTTAATTTATATATGTATGTATATATGTATATAAGTTGACAATCTCTTGTAGTATTTCTAATTTCTAAATTCTAATTTCTAATTAATTTCTGATTAGAACAACTAAAAACCTTCATTAAGTTGTCCAGGGCTCCAAGAGGGGTTTGATTTCCCTTGACACCAATTTAATGAGTCAAACCTGCAGCTACTGTTGAATTTCATAACCTTTTTCTCTTAAGAAACGGAAAAAGTGCAGAGATACCTCTCTGACGGACTCCCACGGTTTCTGAAGAAAGCTTTTAAATGAAGGAAATAAGAGAACATACTTAGCAGAGCATACTTTGTTTATCAAATATAATCTCCACCCACACGTGCATTCATAGAAACACACACATACACTGAAAACAGGAAACAGTTTGTTTACACCTCACGCTGCATTGACCTGAGCGCACAAGGACCTGCAGGCTTCTAGTATTTATGAGCCCACGTTAACAAGCTCCAAACATTCACAGTGAAAGCGCGAGAAACAGAAAGACCCTCGCTCTCACCTCCACCTACGATCAGAGCCGCTGTAAAACAACAACAACAGCCACACACTCATTCATCACATCTCCCTGCTCTCCCGCGCGTGATCAATGTTTCCACGGCTAAATTTAACACAGTAACCTTCATAATTGCGCTCTGAGGCTGCGAGGTTTATTTTCAGAGCATTTATGTCTGGCAGCGGTGGAAAAATGTGCGATCACACCCAACTGATTTGCAAAGCAAGTGTGAGAATTATGGGAAGCAATTACTCGCAATTTCTCCACAACGTACATGGAGTAAGTGTTTGCGTGTAAAGTTATTAAAACACTTAAAAAAAAAACTCAAAAACAAACTTAAAAGTACATACACAGGCATATATTACATTTTATAATAAATGTATCGATTAAAAAGATAAATACATATCTAATAATATATAAATCATTTAATAAATAAATACATTTATGACAATTCTATAAAATATACTGTAATGACATATAATGTAACGGATATATATATATATATATATATATATATATAGCCACACACACACACACTCACACACAAATAATAAAAAATAATAAAATATACAAAATATATTACAATTAAATGTAATACTTTAAAATATATATAATAATAATAATAATAATAAGCAGAAATAAAATAATAAACCTAAATAAAATAACTAAACTATTATTAACAACAACAACAAATCAATAATATAATTATTAATATTTATTATATAATATTTACATTTTTATTTAATTTATTTTAGATTTAAATTATATATTATTTAAATTATATTTTTATTATGAATATAAAATTACTTAAATTATTTAATTATATGGACTTTTTCCAGAAAAGAAGATTTAAGAATAGAATAGAATAGAATTACTTATTTTTAATTACATCTTTTTCAGGAACAACTTTAAGAATAGAATAGAATAGAATAGAAATTAACACTATATATTATATAAAATATATAAAATAAAACACCATTTGAAATATACATATAATTTTATATAATTAATATTATAATTAATATTACATTAATTATTTCATATTCATTATTACATTAAACCATTATGAGCACATATTAATCTCATAAATTCTATTCTATTCTATTATTTAGTGCTGTCAAATGATTAATCTCGATTAATCGCATCCAAAATAAAAGTTTTTGTGTACATAATATATCTGTGTGTGCTGTGTATATTTATTATGTATATATAAATACACACACATACAGCATATATTTTGAAAATATTTACATGTATTTACATGTATATATTTATATTCATATAAATTATATCATATATAAATATATTTAAAGCTGCAGTCCGTAACTTTTTTTTGGTTAAAATGACTGCCACACATACTCCTCAAAACATTAG